AGATCACACCTCTGGTTTTTATTAACATATACTTAGATATATTCTTATATATACACTAACATAGCACTACAGAAACTTAGACTAATTTATCTATAACCTAAATCTACTAGAGTGGTTCATACTCCACACATGTCTCACCTAGATTAATGCTTCTTAACTAACTATTTCTAGTAATATCATATTCCCTTCACATCTCACCTAACCAGTCATAACTTCCAATTTGATATGTTGGGTGTCCACTTCTAATGAGCTCTTAAATTGATATACTTGCAAGCACAATCCACTGCAATTTTCCTCTAAGATATTTTATTCATACAATCGTAATTGGTGCAGGTAGCCTAACAGCCTTGTATTTTAAGCCAGGAACTTGCTGCCTAGTTAGGTTCATCATATAACAGAGTTGGTATTTCATTGTTGAATTAAAGACTTATCTTGGGTTTGCACCACCTCAACTGGTTTGCATCCCTTTATGTACTATCTCTCTTCATGAATGCTCTAATCTCCACTTATCTGCCCAAGTACTACTAACCCGTATTTCAAGCCAAGCCCTGCTGCTGCCACTGGTTTGTCAGCCCAAGACTTAACGTTCTTTTTCTGATATAGTGGTACTAACTAATCCATTTGTATTTCCTCATATGGTGTATTATCAGAACTATATTGCATAGTTGCTTTAATGACGTATCTTGTTAAAAACTAGTCTAACACCACGAAATTCTTTAAGTGGCAAGCAATTCTACTTTCAACTATAGACCTTGTATCATGTTACTAGGAGGTGTACTCCAATTCACCTTGACTTCCAACTTAACTCTTTATTATTGGTTGGTGTTGCATTATTGTTAGTGTATTCTGACTTCTTTTGTCAAAGTCTTCCATATAGATTTGACTAGAGCTCTAACTTGGTTCCTTTATATATATTAGATTAGCTCGTCCATCTCTATGAAATTACCTTCTTTAGCTAGTTGTTTTATAGTACTAGAGGTGCTTCTTGTTTAGATAAGGCCAATCCTTTGCTACAGCCCTTTCATATATTCACTGCTTCTCTTATCATTCCAGTTTCGATAGTATTGTATTACTTTTCCAAGCAAGTACTCAGCACCATTTTCAAATTAAAACTAATGTGTACAATCCATTGATTATCCTTCCAAGCAAATACTCCACAAGTTGGATACAAAGATGTTGGTGTTGTTTAATATAGAGGTGAAGAGATGTTGATGTTGCCTCTGAGTCACCCTAACTAGAGGACTAACTCATATGATCATCTACAGCCTAGATCTTCTATAATGCCGCTATCATACATGATGCCTGCACTCTATGATCAGGGCTTCTTTCAGAAATTCCTATTTCAAAACCGTACTTGCACTTGGATTTTTCCACAGGGCTTTGCATCCGATTATGGCTCCATTAAGATTATAGTAACAAATTTGAAAATTTGCCACCAGCCTGACTCGAATTATCAACCTTGTCTGTGAAGGTTTGAGAGCTTAACCAATAAGCTACGAGGTCAAACTCTAATCTATTAATTATTTTTTTAAACAAGTATCTTAAAGTTAAATACAGATATGTTAGTATTGCCTAATATAAAAGTGAAAAATGTTAATATTATCTTTAAGTTACCTAATCAGAAGACTTACTTATATAATTTTCTATAACTTAAACCTTCTATAATACTGCTATTATATATAATGTTTGCACTTTATAATCAGGGCTTCTTGTGAGACTTTTTATTTCAAAACCATACTTATATTTAGACTTTTCATAGAGCTTCATATTCAATTATAGCTCTATAAGATTATAATAACAAATTCAAAAATTTGCTACCAGCCTAACTAAACTATTGACTTTGTTTGTAGTGTTTAGAAGCTTAACCAATAAGCTATGAGCCCAAACTCTAATTAGCTAATTTGTATAAATCATCTTGTAATATAGTAAATATTTTATTGGTTAGTTAAATTTTAAGCTTTAAATTGCTAATATATAGAATATATAATATAATATTCTACTTTATTATCCAATTAAATTAAATTTTTGCTATGTTATCTTGTCAATCAGATTAATATTTAATAGGATATATATATATTTTATAAATTAAGATTTTTATAGATTAGAGTTAGAATTAAAGTCAGGTTGGAGTTAAGTATAGATACTTTAGAGGCATACTCTAAAAAATATACTATTTGCATGAGTAATACAAACCAAAAAAGGAATCAAATTTTATAAATAAACTAAGTATATAAAAATAGAAGTTTAGGATTAAGATATTAAAGTTGTAAGCTTTAGCAATATATTAAAGTTTTTTATATATAAAATTTTATTTTTGTTATTTTTTATTAGTTAACCAAGGTCGATTTAAATACTAGTTTTTGAATATTTTTGCTTTCTTTTCTTTTTTTTTTTTTTGTACATGTTCAGATTTTATGTTAGGCTGATCCGGAATACCTGAAATTTGTGTGCTCTGATTGGCTATTTTCTTTTAGAAGTTTGTATTATCTATAGATACCTGATATAGATTTTAATTTTGCTGATTATAAATAAAGTTACTGTAGTAGTATAAAAGATTTTTTAGATTGTTGATTTTGTTTACGTGATTGCTTAATCTTATAATAAAATTTATAAGTTCTCTATATTTTGAAACTGATGAACTACTTACCGATTTTAATAGCAATAATAACCTAATAACAATGAGTTATATACAGCTTTTATTTGAAGATAATTTAAATTAAACTTCTTTAGACTTTGATACAAATAATTTGCTTGATAATTTCGATAGCATACAAGTTTTAAATGAAACAAACCAAAGTGAAACCTCTTCACAACTTGAAACCAATAAATTATTCGATAATTTTAATATTGATAATAACTTTTCAAATGAAGAACTTGAATCTACTGAACCTTCTACTAAGTTGTTAGTTGGACAATCATTTGAAACATGGGATGATACAGAAAATTTTTTAAAACGATATGGTTTGCAAAAAGGATTTGGTATACGTAGACGAAGAACAAATGCTCCTATAAAAAATAGAATTAAAATTATAAGATATATTGGATGGGAATGCAGCTATGCAGGCAAATATAAACCTAAAAAAAAGGTAGATCCTCAGCAACAACGTAATCATTTGGCAAAAGCTTCTGGTTGTGAATAGCATGTAAATAGAAATTTGGCTAAGTCTGCAACAAAAATTACATTTACTACAGTAATTGATCATCATACTCATTCGTTAGCACTATCTCCACCTCTTATGTTATCACAATATAGAAGTTTAGATAATGAAATGATACAATTTGTAGATTTTTGTGTAATACATGGAACTACCGGTACAAGAAATATTGCAAGACTGCTTCAAGGAAAATTTCCTAATAAAAAGATTCATACAAAAAATTTATATAATGCTATTTAACATTCTAAAAAAAACTTCAAATAAGAATAGAACATGATGCTTCGGATTTACTTGGATTTTTATATAATAAAAAATGTGAAGATTCTCTTTGGTTTGTTGA